CCCGCATCCCCCCAACAACCCCCCACCCCACCCCCACCCCCCCACACGAAACGGAAGTGAGCCCAGCACCCAGCGGGGAGCTCGGCCCGTCGGAAGGTGCGCCTCCCGCAATGACAAGTCCGACGGGCGCGCTTAATCGACGTCTTTGACCGCAGGAGGTGGGGCCGAGGAGTCCGAGGAGGAACTCCCAAGTGCTTCCCATTCATCCGTGACCTCCGTCGGGCTCGTAGGAAATGCGGGTTTACTCCGAAGGGTGGGTGGAGGTGGTGGGGGGAGGGGGTAGGCTGTGCACGCTCGTCGGATGCGCATGTGAATATTTTATTTTTTTTTTTTTGTTATTGATTTTTTTTTTGGGGGGGGGGTTTCTTTTTTTTTTGGGGGGGCGTGTTTTTTCCCTTTTCTTTTTCTTGTTTGTCGGATTTTTTTTTTTTTTTGGGGGGGGGAGGGAAAGGGGAGGTGTTTTATTGTTGCTGTTTATTTTTCGTGTTGCTCTTCATTTGAATTTTATCTATTGAATCTTATTCCCATTTTTTTTCTTTAACGTGGTCCTTCTCCTTCTCCCCTTCTTCCACTTTCGCAACTGCCTTCTTGTCCTCCTTCTGTTATTTCTTCTGCTTCATCTCCCCCTCCTCCCCTTCTTTCCTATTCTCCTCCTCCTCTTCCCCTTTCTCCTGCACCTCTCCCTCCTTCTTGATCTTCTCTTTCTTCATATTCATCACCTCCTCCTCCCCTTTCTCCTCCTCCATCTTCTCCTTCTTCTTCCCTTTCTCCATAATCTTCACCTCCTCCTCTTTCCCTTTCTCCTCTTCCTCCTCCTCCTCGTCTCCTCCGTCTCCTTCTCCTCCTCTTTCTGACCCATATTGCAGAGCCACTCCCCATCCTTGTGACCTCAACGTGACCTTGCGAGTTGAGGATAGACTCAAGTATTTCTCGCTGAATGTGAAAAAAAAAATTATAACACTGGAAACCTTACTGGAAACCTCTGGAAACTTCTGAGAAAATGATCATTTATTGTTCTTAAGTTACGAGATATTTAATCTTGTATATATTTTTGGCATCAATTAATTTGATAAAGTAAATGGAATTCATGACAAACCGATATAGTCGGTATAACTGCGTGAATGTTTTCTTACAATTCGTTTTATATGAATGATTGAAATGTGAGTCAATTACTCCAAACACGACAACAATTTCATGGGAACTGCAACGGCCCCAAGCGGATGACTAAACAAGATGGCGAGTTCATTCATAAAAACGCGTAAAGGAAAATGGGAGTCCACTGGAGTACAACTCACGTTTTCTTTGATGTCCCAAGACGGTACGTTCTCTTTCAGCTTGGTGAGGGGTGACTCTTGAAAACTTATGCCGCTCTCGCTCTCTTTCTCTCTCTCTCTTTCTCTCTCTCTCCATATATATATATATATATATATATATATATATATATATATATATATATATATATATATATATATGAATATATATACATATAAAAACATTCATACAGATACATGTGCGCACATACATTTATGCTTTCATACGCCTTTTTTTGTCGTCTCACTCTTTTATGCTTGTAACTCTAACTTGAGATTGCATTTAAAGATGCATAACTCTTAGGATACAACATACACAGTAAATAACGCAATTGCATAACACGTATCTCGTTACAGAAATTCCCAGGAACATTTACGGGTAGAGAAAACAATCGAGATAACAACTCTCATACGATCGAACATTCACGCCGAAAACACCGCCACTCCGGCACTTACCTGTGTGAAACATCTCATATTTCTGGAGCAGAGCCTCGCCAGTCTCGTCTGGGAAGTACACAGGGCAGCAGATAGCCTCTGCTGTTGAAGGGGGTCAGTGACTAGTTCCAGCTGTTGGGTTAGGCTGTCGAAAGTCTGCTGTTCGACCGCCATGGCATCTTGTAAAGTCTGCACCAGTTCCACCAAGCCCTGTGAAGATGAAAATTTAATTGATATTAATTTATAATACTGGCTGAATGATGATATTAAGTTTAATCAATCTATTCATTTTTATCATTTGGGGGGTCAGGCTTGTGGTATGTGAGGTATTTGTAATAAAAAGAAAGTGACGATGATAAAAGAAGTATATACAATACAAGGAATATCCAGAATGTAAATTTTTATAGCGCCTCTAATTTGATAAAGAAGAATAAGACTCAAATAAAGAATGATGCTGAGATACACGCTGACGATAAAGACCATTAAGGAAAACTGGATCCCATAAAGATTTCGAAAAATGCTGCCTATTCAGCACTGACCTTTACGAAAAAAAAACTACATTGTTGCCATTTCTGTGAAAGTTCTCTTGTCTCCCACACACGCCTAGTTGGCCATAGACTATGCAGATTCGAATGTCTAGCAACAAGTGAACGACGGAGAAAGTGACGTAACAAACGATAATTGCTAAGGCTGGGTAAACGCCATCGCACATGGAACAATGATAATTTGTGGACACGCTATTTGTGAATATATATACGAAGGAAGACAGAGAGAGAGAGAGAGGGAGGGACGGGGAAGAGGGAGGTAGGTAGGGAGGGAGGGAGGAGAGAGGGAGAGGGAGAGGGAGGAGGGAGAGGGAAGGAAGAGGAAGAGGAAGAGGAAGAGGAAGAAGGAAGAGGAAAAGAGGGAGAGGGAGAGGGAGAGGGAGAGAGAGAGAGAGAGAGAGAGAGAGAGAGGAGGAGAGAGAGAAGAGAGAAGAGAGAAGAGAGAGAGAGAGAGAGAGAGAGAGAGAGCGAGAGAAGAGAGTAGGCCTAACAGACAGAGACAGAGAAAAAGAAAGAAAGAGAGAAAGAAGATACGAAAAAAACCAATCGAGAGAGAGAGAGCGAGAGAGAGAGAGAGGCTAACAGACAGAGACAGAGAAAAGAAGAAGAAAGAGAAAGAAGATACGAAAAAACCATCGACCACAGACAAACGGAGCCACAAGAAAAAACAGGAAACACAAACAACAAAAAAAATCAAAAAGACAGAGACATAATTAGCCAAAATGAAATACAACTGGAAAATCAAAAACAAAAAACATCCATTGAGTCTTCAGCTCAGAAACACCCCGCTTGGCCTGAAGGGAAACACGATGGCATTGCAGTGTAAAACATTAGCGTGACACGCGGGAGACTGGCAAGGCTGGGGAGGGGGGAAGAAGGGTGGGGGTGGGGGCGTAGGAAATGACAGAGGAGAGAGGAAAATAATCTTTTAAAAGAATGTATAAATCGACGTAGCTACCGATAAGGATTTTGACGTTATGTCCGTATCTGAACAAATCGTAAAATAAACAAAAAAAAGATAAGAACAAGAAGAACAAACAAATAAATAAAATAAAAAATAATAAATAAATACACATGCCTTGAAGAAGAAATAAAGAGAAAAGGACTTCGATATATTTGCATATTTTCTTGTTCTTCCTTTCGTTGTATTATATACACATAGACAGTGAAGGATATTTTTGAGGAGGTTCATGAAGATGGGGAGAGGAGGAAGGAAAAAAGGGTGAATAGGAGGAGGGGAAGAAGAGGGGGAAGGAGGAGGGGAGGAAGGGAACGGACGTAAGACGAAAAGAAAGGGAAAGCAGAAATAAAAGAAAGGAAGAAGACAGAGGAGGATGGAGGAGGAGGAGGAGAATGGAAGAAGAGAATGATGGAATACAAGAGGAAGATAGAAGAGGAGAAAGATGGAAAAAGAGGACAAAAGAGGAGAAGGATGGGAAGGAGGACGAAAGAGGAAGGAGGAGGAGGAGGAAAATGTCTGTCATTTTCACAATCAAAGTTTCTTCCCGAGATAACAGTGAGTCTGCAATATTCATAAAGGACATGATAATTCAATGTTTATTGGCGTAATTAATTGTCGGTTATTTAAAAAACGTTTAAAAATAATAGAAAAAACATGACGGGGAACCTGGAGTGGACAAAAGAGAGAGGGAGAGGAAGAGGAAGAGGAGGAGGAGGGAGGAGAAGAGAGAGAGAGAGAGAGAGAGAGAGAGAGAGAGAGAGAAGAGAGAGAAGAGAGAAGAGAGAGAGAGAGAGAGAGAGAGAGAGAGAGAGAGAGAGAGAGAGAGAGAGGAGAGAGAGAGAGAGAGAGACAGACAAGACAGAAAAATAAGGCAGACAGAAAGACACAGACACACACACAGTAGTCAAAATTCAGACAGACACAGAGAGAGCTAGTCAGACAGACAGGGAGAGATTTAGACAGACAGACAGGTAAAATGACAGACAGAAAAAGCGAAGAAAGACCACAGAAAAGAAAAAAAAAAAATTAGCACGGCCAAGTAAGATGGGATCAGAGATAAGCAAGGGGGGGGAGGGGGGGGGAGTCCATCCCATGCAGTCATTAAGTGTGTACACCCTTTTAGCAACCCCCCCTTAGCCCCTGCCGCCCCCTCCCCCCCTTCCCCAACGTCATTTGAGACAAGAGAAGGAACACGATCACCTTCTGTCCGCTCAACCCATTAGTGGAGGAGTTCATTATATACGCGTGTAATGGACAAAAAGAGAAAAAAGAGAAAGGGGGTGGGAGGGGAGAGACAGAGAAAGGGAGGAAGGGAGGGATGGGGATGGGGATGGGATAGGGATAGGGATGGGGATGGGGAGGGAGAGGGAGAGGGAGAGGGAGAGGGAAGAGGGAGAGGGAGAGGGAGAGGGAGAGGGAGAAGGGAGAGGGAGAGGGAGAGGGAGAGGGAGAGGGGAGAGGGAGAGAGGGAAGAGGAGAGAGGAGAAAGGGAGAGAAGAGAGAGAGAGAGAGAGAGAGAGGAGAGAGAGAAGAGAGAGAGAGAGAGAGAAACAGAGACCGAGAGGCATACAGACAGAAAGAAAGAAATATAAGACAAAAATAATCCAAAAAGAAAAAACTAAAAACAAAACAAGAAAAGAAATAAAAATAAGACGAAACAAGGGGGAGAATGAAACGAATTAATTAACCACGAATTAAAAAAAAAGAAAAAAAAGGGGGAAGGTGTACATCATGTTCAAGGACGACTTACACCCTTTGTCTTGTTTGTACTGGAACAAGACGATGGAGACGCCCAGAGGTGTAGTTTTTATGGGAGATGTGGAAAGGGTTTGGTTTAGTGGGGGGGAGGGGGAGGGGGGATTGAATGGGAAGATGGGGAGGGGTGGAGGTGGGATGAAGAGGGAGAGAGGTGGAGGGGGGAGAGAGGAAGGAGGTGGGGAGAGGAAGAGGCGGGGATGAAGATGGGGAGAGGTGAAGGGGGAGAGGGAGAAGGGGGAGAGTGGAGGGGGAGGGAGAAGGGGGAGATGAGGAGGTGGGGGATGAAGATGGGGAGGGGTGAAGGAGGGGATGAAGATGGGGAGAATGGGGAGAGAAGGGAAGAGGGAGAGGGAGAGGATAGAGAGAGAGAGAGAGGAGAGAGAGAGGAGAGAGGAGAGAGAGAGAGAGAGAGAGAGAGAGAGAGGAGAGAGAGAGAGAGAGAGAGAGAGAGAGAGAAGAGGAAAGGGAATTGAATGAGAAGATGGGGGAGAGGTGGAGGGGAAAAAGTGGGAGAGGAGGGAGGAGGAGGAGAGAAAGATTGAGAAGGGAAGGAAATTAAATGAGAATAGGAGGAGAGATGAGGAGAAGACAAGGAAGGGAGGAGAAGAATGGGAAGGAGTGGAAGAGGAGGAGAGAGAGAATGAGAAAGGAAGGGAAGGAAGAAGAAGAGGAAAAGTGAGGAGGGAAGGATTGAGAATAACAGAATGAGAGAAATAATGAGAAGGGTACGGAGAGGAGAGAAAGAGTCAGGAGGGGGAGAGGAGGAGGGCAAGATTAATATTACGAGGAAGAGGAAAAAAAACAATAACATAAAGAAATTGAGGAGAGAGAATGAGAATAGGAGAAGAGAGAGAAAAAAACAGACAAACAGACAAACAGACAAAGACTCAAATGAACGCAGTAATAGAAACACACATTTATCTCTCTCATTACAGGCTACACTGATAACATTCAAAACAAAAGATGGAATTTTCCAATTTTCGATAATTGGGGGCGACTGTCTGTAAATTTCTGATCACAAAGCTCTCTCCTCATTAGTCTATTTCTTCTCTCTGATAGACGATGGCTCGGCACGTTATACTTCCATCAAGAGGAGTTCTACGTCTGAATACTTTCTATTAATAAACTAACGTCAAGGTTTTGTATAATCGAGTTGTATCTATCTTTCTGTTTATCTATCTATCAGTCTGTCTAGCTGTCTATCTGGTTGTCTATTAATCTATCAATCATTGTAAATATTGTATTATTTATCTATATATTTCTTCATCTATCTATCTATTTATCTATCTGTTTACCTACCCTACTACCTACTTACTTACCTACCTACCTATAATTGCGTAGTTTTCATTTATTTTTCAACCTCTCCTACAAAATCGTTATCTCTTCCTTGTTCGCCAAAACGAAATCAGAAATAAATAACAAGGTGAATAAGGCATCTAATAAATCGTATTTCACAACACAGCTGACACACACCGGTAACAAAATACAATTACAGGACAATTTCCGACAAGGAAATTCCCCCGCGTGGCATTTCCCTTCGAGGAGGAAAAAGCACTGAAAAAGTATAAGAAGAGGAACTCCACTCTAATGACTACCAGAGAAAAAAAAAAAATGCAAGCGAATCTATAGCCGGGAAGGGGATCCAACACCCTCGTCGGAAGTGCTGGGCGAGACCCCAATAGTGTTCGATTCTACGGGTGTGGGCTTCGTTGTTATTACTATGACTGCCATGTTTATAGTCTCCCGCGGCGAGCATGTCAGAGATCATATCAGTTTTAGCGCCTTGTTTAGAGGGACATGACAGTTTTGGCTGCGGTTCTATAGCAGGAGATGGATCGAGGGTAAGACAGAAGAGGGATAGGAGCAGATAAAGAGATACAGACAAGGGAAGCAGAAGATTGAAATCGGATGGAGGTTTGAATATAAAGAGGTGGAGGGAGATGTGC